GAGGTCGAAACTGCAGTCTACCCTGGATGAGAACAACTTTTGGGAAAGCAAGGCTATGTGAAATTGAATGGAAACGTCAGCTCAACTCACATTGTTGGAAAATTCTTCTTCTACCAGTCCTTCATCACTTTAAACGAAATTGAGTAAATACATCTCATAATACTTACTTTACTCCGTAATTCCCTGTTTGATGTCAAATGGTTTTTTTTTTATTAATTTTTATTTTTAACCTGGGAATGGGATGACATATTATGAAACGATTGCTACAGCATATGTACCAAACTTCTCTCTATCTAATTACTTACCAAATCTTACAATAATTTTAGATCACAAATCAAATTGACGAAATACGAAGAGTTTATCGGGCCCAACTAGATGAAGCAACTGATATTATTCACCCTAAGTTGTTGGACTTCCCGCAGGAACTCCAAGAATTATCGTAAATATCTTTATTTTAGATCCTTATATGACATTTCATTTAACTTGTTTCTTCATCCTTTTTTATATGATGATCCTCTTGTTTTTTTTGTCAACTAGTAAAATCACAAGAATGGTTCCACTTTTTCACTAATTGAGTTTTATAGCAGTTGGCAACTTTTTACATTTGCTGATGCCCATTATGGTTCACTGCGGTTACTTTTCAAATTTAAGCAACATGTTTTTTCAACTAAGTTAAATTATTTGCTCCTTCATGCCTTATTAGAGAGAAGGCTCGATTTTATAATTTACTCATTTATTTTATAACAAATAAACAGGATCAATACTCATATCTTAGATGACTTTCATAAGCCTTTATAACTACATTCGTGCATTGTTAATAGTATTTATCTGAGTTTCTGCATATCGGATTATCCTTGATTTATTTTCATGCTATGATGAAAAATATCATGTATACAACTAAAAATATTCATATTTCGGTTTTCATAAATGAAATTTATCATTTTATCATGGCACCTTAGTTGGGTCAAGAGTCTAAGAGTATCTTTATTGACGTATTATTGATTATTTTTCCTTTCAGATGGGAGCATTTGACGCATGCGATCGTAAACATGTACGATGCTTTAAAAGACAAGGATGTGAGTATCGACAAATTCACCATATATTTATTTCCTTCTTTAATGACTACTATATTAGGTGCCATCTATCATGGCTTCTCTTTTTGATATTGTTACCCTTATTATCATAATATCCTGCTAAGAACTATCCTATCAGCGTCTAAGTACGAATCTAATTACATCTCATCAGCTTATTTACAACACCCAGTTACTTCGCTTTGCAGGTTAATTCGATTTTTTTCCAACTCGCACCAGAACCATCAAATGGTTTTGTAAGCTTTCGTATGACTCACTAGCTCCATCGGTTCGATGTATTAAATGGCAATACTAGGACGAAACTTTGCCAGCGCCAGTTCGCCAAAGCGCAAATTATTTATACCAGTAAAGCCTATAATTATCATTTGAATGAGGATAACTGCCGATAAAGCAAACTTATGTTTGCAATGCAATTGGACAAATTTACGGTAAGATTTTAAGGCTACTCAAAACGGATTGTTAGTTTGTAGTTAGGATTCTTCAGATTAAATGAAAAGTCTTATACTGTGGCTTTTCATTGTGCCTTGATTTCTATGCAACTTTTTCCTCTGTACTGAATTGTCGGCCGAACTTCTCCTAGGTCTCATCAGCACTAGCTATAAGAGTTGAGCTTATGTGCTCATTAATTGGCACTGCCCGAGCTTCAGTGAATCCAAGTTGAGATCAAGGCAAACTAGGTTTCAGCACACATTTGTAGTAGCGATGGGTCTTGATTAGGAGAACTGTTTTTTATGAGCAATTTATATTGTTTACTTGTTCACATTAAGTCTTATAGACATACAACTGTATTTTTCTCTCACTCAGAAACTTAGCAATCCTATCAGATTATCGAGTCTTCTCTCAGAACCTCATTTACTTGATGATCCTTTGCCTCGTGACAACCATGTTCATTCAGAATCTACTCGATTATCACCTCGAGCCGAAAATGCCCCGTCCTTGAGTGTTCACAAGGCCAATAGCTGCAATAGCGATACTGTTATCTACTCTTCCACTACAAGTAACATCGATTCTTTTGATAAATTTGGCAAAGCCATCTCATCCTCAACTTCACGCTTATTGCAATCGAATGATCACAAGCACAATTCGTCCATGTTACATTCAGCCTCCGATATATTCTGCAAGAATACACATGAATCCGAAGGTCAGCCTCCGAGTGGGGATCATACACTGCTGACTAATATAAAAACCGATTCTATATTGGTTTCTACGGATAGCACTGTCAATTTAACTAATGCTGCACCCGATCCTGGATGTGACTCTGCCCTGACCACTTGCGATGTTCACCTAGCTGAGATTCCCGAAACAATTAGCAGTAGTGTAACTTCATCCGGTCTTGATTCTGTCTTAATCGATACTCAGGCACTTCTGGCTTCTCCGACTTTAGACAATCAGGAAAAGCGCCGCTCCAGCAGAGTAAGTGCCGCGAAATTTTTAAAGACTAATGAGATGAGTAATTCCATAACTACCAGTAAATCCAGCTCCAAGTAACTGCCAGTCCACTATGGGCCGCATTAAAAGCGTTTCCC